TTCAGAACTTTTTCTATGATAATTCTAAGTTATCAATCTGAGCGTGTTAAGAAAAGTTTTCTGTTATTTTTCTGTGAAAATTTACATCTTTGTAGGTATCAGCATGGTAAAGGTAGCCTCAAGTGTTCACTTAAAGATGTTATGTTTCAGATGGGAGATTTGTAGGAAAGCCTTATTATGCATTATTAAATGCATTAGCTGGAAAGCTGTGATTCCTTGCAAGTGAAAGTGGCTGCTTAAGGGCTGGTTAGATAGCTCTGCAGATCTTCCTGGCATGATACTTGCATATTGTTGCCACATGTTTAACAAATGTCTTCCCAGAATTATCAATTCTAACACAATTTGTTCATCTAAGCAAAAGGAATGAGGAAATATCACTCACATCAAATCAGCTTTGTATATCAAACTACATTTATTAAAGACTGTTCATATAGGCTGATTTCAATCACTGATGGGTTTGTATTTCAACTACAGTTTGGCCTACAGTGGTCAAAGCTGTAATATTTCAGGACAAGATAGCAGTATAGTTCTATATCAGAATTAGATTTTTTCTCTATCTCATGCCAAATTCACTTTTCTTGAAGTACAGTATCCAGAACACAGCGTAGTGATACAGACTATATCAACTTTGAATAAAAAGAGCAGTATTCTGTCCCCTTATTTCCCACTGCTCTCATGTCTAACTGAAACATGTTATGAGAATTCTTCTTTTTAGGCACTACTGTAATACTTTTCCTCCTCAGAAGAAACGCAGAAGGAAAAGGCCCAAACATACTGATGTTCTCTGGAATCTATATTCACAAAGATATCACCAGTTATTCCTCAGGATGTGTGTTAGCTATATTAGAAGAATGCTTGTTTTAGTATTTGTTAATGTACTATGCAAGCCTTCGAAAGTAAAATTAAAGAAATCTTAGTTTCTGAATTAGTTTATAATATCAGAGCTTGCCAAAATCTATAAACTACTTAGAGTTGACACTAGACTGCTAAGACTTTGCTAAGATTATAAGAGTACCTGTAGGTTATGGTGTACCTTTTCCCATCTTAAAATACAAAGCAATTTTTTTGTTTGTTTTTGATGATCCCTACCTTAGGATTCTCTATGTTTTGAATAAGTGTAAAAGATCAGGATTAATTGATTTAGCTAAATATTTTGCAGAGAAATATTGCTTCATTTATAGTTGAAGCTGTTAAAAGGAAAAGTATATTTAAAGATTAAAACACAGTCATGAAATAATTATTTGGACCACTTATAAAATTTAGCAATGCACAACCAATATGAAAACACAGCAATCTGGCAATGAGTTTTAACTCTCCCTGCTGGAGTCTGAAGGAGCTGAGTGCATGACCAAGAATCCCCTGAGTAATTTTGATCAATCTGTGGTACTAAATATAATAATAGTACTGACTGCCTTTGGAGGAGAAACACTGTTCAGACATTCAAATGAAATCTAGGTCAGCTTCACTTGTGGTCCCTACAGGGGTGGAAGGAGAAAGTAGGAAGAGGAGAATATTCAGGTGTCTGGGATTAAGGAGACTAATTACTGAATCAGTCTTGAGTGAGAGAGGGGAAGGGGTAAATTAATGAAGTTTTCAAAATCTTTTTTATTTATTTTTCCAAGGATCCTTGGCATATGGCAGTTAGGTATTCAATTTCTGTTCAGAAGGTATTTGAGCCTATAATTTGAGAATCCAGAATTACAATATTTAGAAAAATGCTTGCTTCTGGTTTCCCTTCTGTAGTCATAATTTTTCAAGAGACTTCTACTGCCATATGACTCAGCCACAGTTACTGTACATCCAAAGATTTCAGATGGACTGAAATATGTCTCTTGGTTCCATGTGTTATTCTGAAAATAATTCTGATATTGCAATCATTGACTGACTTAAATTTAGTTTATTTTATTATTTTTTTAAAATTATCATTATAAGAGGGAATCCTTCTGACATTCCCAACTTGATATCATTTGATGTACAATTGTATTACTAGACAGAAAATCACTATTTCAATTGAAATGTAGCAATTAATAGTGTAGAATTGCTGTGTTTCAAAGATATTTTGACATGCTCAGCTGTTAAAATTAGGTGTATTCGGATGACTTGTACATTTACAATCCTTTCTACTGAAATCTTTTTCAGAAAAATCCTTTTTCTGACTTCAGCTGTTGGATACTAATATAAGTGAGACAAAAATTTTAGGAAAACAGAATATCCTCATCTGTGTAGAGCACAACTTTGTAAACTCAAATTAAGTAGTATTTATGTATGTACATGCACTGCTTTATATATGTTTTTCACATTCTCTAAGCTTGGTTAATTGAGAGTATTTTACTTATCTAAGATGAATCATGTTCCTATCCTGTTGGATTGCAATACAGCGCAGTAAAACTCAGCAGACTTGATAAACTTGTCCGTAAGTCCACATCTTACAACCATTTTATTCCTAGTCTAAAGTTGACTCGCTGGTAAGAGATTGATATTTGCCTCAGATTATTCTAATTGCATGCTGTGAAACCAAGTCCCTAACCTTATAGCTGGGAAACTATACATTAAATAATTTCTTTTTATTCATTACCATTTAGGTGTAGTCTTGTAAAAAGTTTTGAATTACTATGGACTTATAGAATCTTAACATTTCTCTTCTGCGAACTTCTAGTTCTGTGTTAATTTACTATCCAAAATCCAATTTGTTGCTATTCCAATATAAAATTTAATGAAGTTGCCTTCAGCAACATTTAAGAAAAATGAAAATGCCAGGAAGTCATCCTTAGGTTAGAAAATGACCACAAATTAAGGCACTTAAATATTTGGGAATTCACGTAGGCATATTAAGATTGCTTTTCTTTTCCTCCCCTTTTCTCCTTTTTCCTGCAGAAGGCACCTGCCTGTAGGCGAACACCAGGACTATGAAGCTTGGAAAGAACAGCTTTGGAAATGGGTCCATTACAGCGGCGACTTCCCGGGATCAAGAGAAGCAGAAAAGCAACAACTACTTGTGTTTTTTATTGTACGGGTTCTCTCCCTGAGCTGTGTATTTTCTCCTGACCCACATGGCCCCCCCATTCGGAACCATGTTGTCTCTCCGCCCCTGCACAAGCAGGAGAGGCTGTCTCACCTGCCTCTCCCCAGTCCCTGGTTCTGTTACTGGAACACGATCCTCCTGTATCTCCCATTGGTCAGTAGAGCCCTTAAACCACTCCCTTCATCCCAGACCTTGACCCAATCACGTCCCTTCTTCTTGCTCTCCCCCTGAGCCCATATAAACTGCGGGAGTTTTGAAATAAAGGTCTTTTCACCTTGGGACACCGAGAAGAAACTTGCTCGCTCTCTCCTCCTGCCGAAGGGGGACCGTGTGACTCAGTTCTTCTCTGGGAAACCTCCAGCGGAGAGTCCACACTCAAGATCCGTTAATTGGCGCCCAACATCAAGACCCACATGAAATTTTCTACTGTATAAAGGATTTTCGAGGGTCTCTGGGCTCACGCGACGAAGCAATCGTGGCTTCCCGCTCAAATGGATTCCTGTAACTCAGCGTGGGATCTTGACCTATCAATTAGGTAGGCCTGCAGTTGCATAGTTTCTGGAACTCTATTTTATCGCATTCATGGGGGCTCTATCTTCAGAGCGGGAGCACGACACCTACAAACACTTAAAAGGTCTTATTTATTTGCATGGACACCCATTGGACATGCAAATAAAGACTCCCTAAAAGCACTGATTAAATGGATTTCAAAACACAACCGCACCCTGCGCACCCCCATATCATATCAGGAATGGGACTCATTAGGACGTGAATTATGGAACGCTATACAGGCAAATGACTCTTTAGCATCCTGGGCAGCAATAGCCTGGCGGCTAATGTTAAGCATGTTAAAAAAAAATGAGATTGTACAATCCATGATTTGGGAGGAGGGAGCGGTGCAGCATCCAGATCGCAGCACGACTGTGGCAGCAGGAACGGATTCCGGATGGGAAAATGTTTCCTCTGTATCTCCATCCTGCACACATCACGGAGAGCTTAGCTCGCCCCCCTGGACCTGAAAGGGTCGTGGCCGCATGGTCGTGTCGCAGTCCATGGCCATCCCCACCACACCCCCCCACCTCCCAAGATGGCCCCAGCCTCGTGCCTGCTCTGCCCTCCCACAACCAAAATGGCGGCGACCGCGTAGCTGCACCCTCCTACCCCCCCGCCCCCCTGACTGATTTTAGCCACAATCTAGTTCCCCCCCTTCCGCCCTTCCTCCCTCTTCCACCCCCACCCCTCTCTATCCCCCCACCTCCAACGCACCCAGGTACCGCCTTCCAAAACCCCACTCCCCACAGCAGCGCCACTTATCCTGCCATGCCAGTAGCTGGTGCTGTAACCCCCTCAGTACCACCACCCTGTGGATGTACTTGTTCCTCCACACCAGCAGATGGCGCTTGTCCCCCACAAGGCCCACCACTGCCCCATAACCCAGTTATTTCCACCTCCCTGTCCCCAGATACATGCCAACATGTTTGTAGTTATGGTCCTGGTTTCTCCGGAGCCAGTGCCCAGAGAAGCAGATGGTCTTACATAAAGAAACAAGCATCGACAGCTGATGATCTGAATTTAGTTAAAGTATTTCCTGTATTTTACCATCCCAACAATTGTCCTGTCTGGGTGCCCATCCCCCTCCTAATTCTTAAGGATACAAAAAAAGCTATTACTGACTATGTGCTAAACTCACCTTATGTAATAAGGGTACTAAATTCACTTTTTGCTGCGTAGACGTTTACTCCAAATGACATAAAAGAATTAGTAAGCGCTTTTTTCACTAACATGCAGGCAACACTTTTCCTAGATGAGTGGCAAGCTCACATTCGCCAACATGCCCAGTGAACCTTTGCTACCACACAGATCCCAGTCCTGGAGTCTTTTAATAAGCTCTTTGGAGTGGGACCCTATATTTCCAATGAGGCCCAAAGAAAGATACCTATGAATGAATTGGACACTTCAAAAAATCTAGCCTTCCAAGCTATTCAAACCATTGTTGAGGCAGCCGAACCTGCACCTTCATATACACAAGTACAACAAAAAACAACAGAACCATTCATACACTTTGCAGAAAGGCTAAAGACAGCTACTGCAAAACAAGTCAAACACCCAGAAGCTCAAGATGCACTATTTTTAAGACTGGCTATAGAACAATCTAATGATGATTGCCAACAAATACTAAGGACTCTTAAAGATCCCACTCCAACAGACATGGTTAAAGCATGTCGTAATGTGGGATCTGGAAATTATAACAAATCCCTCCAGGCTGAAGTCCTGGTGGTGCAGAAGGAGGCTACGTGCCACCACTGCAAACAACCTGGACATTTTGAAAAAGATTGCCCGCAGCTAAAAGTAAGACCACCTACAGTACCTCTCAGCTTGTGCCCCCGATGCAAAAAGGGATTGCACTGAGTGAGTGTGTGTAGGTCACTCTCCTACAGAGACGGCAGACCACTCTCACCTAGGTCTACACCAAAGCTGGCTTCGATGCCAGGAAACGGACTGCCAAGTGCCAGGGGTAGCGCTATGATACAAAATGCCCCACAAGCCAACCACACTCAGCAGCTCCTCTCGATCCCAGACGGACAACCAGAGCAGGTATCCCTAGGGTGGAGCTGGCATCTCCCCACCAACTCACCATAAACAATGACAGCTACCAGACAGTCCTCCTGAGGCCAACAACGGAATTACCGTTACCTGCTGGACAATATATTCTAACAGGAACCGCTGCATCCGCCGATACACGGTTAACAGTTGTCCCTCAATCAATAGCTGTAGACAACCCAAAAGTAGTAGAAGTAACTGTCAAAGTTCTGTTTCCACCTGTGGAGCTTGACACAAATACACTGATTGCCAACCAAACCCCCATTGAGGTGCGGGGAAACACTTTGGACTCAATGCCTTTGGTTCATTGGTCACAATCAATTTTACTTGATCGCCCTATGCTAACCTCTGCTGTGTTGTTTCCCAATACTAACCAGTGTGTTCGCGTTAAGGGCCTCATAGACACCAGAGCGGACGTCACCATCTTCACAGAAAGCGACTAACCTAGGGAATGGAACACGACACAGCCCTGCATCAACATCAAAGGGGTAGAAGTAGCCCAGTCACTGCTCCAAAGTGTCTGCACACTGAAGGTCCTGAAGACTCTCGTAGGTTCACGTTCACAGTACCCTCCATCAACGCAGCAGAACCATCTCGATGCTATCACTGGACCGTCCTTCCTCAAGGGATGAGAAACAGTCCCTCTGTGTGCCAAAGAGTCATCGCAGACGTCTTGTCACCAATCCATCGGCAATTTCCACATACCATCCTGTACCACTATATAGACGATATCCTCCTGGCTGCTGAATCCAAGGAACAGCTCACACAAGTTCATTTGTCTGTGAAAACTGCTCTGTTAAGACATGGCCTTGAGATCGCACTGGAAAAAGAACAAGTGACAGTGCCATGGAAGTACCTTGGATTACACATCAATAACACCACGATTCAACCTCACACTGTTGCCTTACCCTCCAACATCCACACCTTGAATGACCTACAATCCTTGCTAGGTTTAATTAATTGGGTTAGGCCTCTCCTAGTATAACAACAGACTCTCTGGAACCACTATTCCAACTTCTGAAAGGGGAGGCAGACTTGACATCCCCTCCACACCTGACACCGGAAGCCTGAGAGGTGTTGCAGGACATAAATCAAAGGCTGAGTGCATGTCAGACTAAATGAAGAGTGTGGTTTACCGGTTGTGTTAGTAATTTTCAAAGGTATCAAGCAGCCCTATGCTATTTTGGGACAATTAGATCTAAAAGGCAAGAACTTTCTGTTACGGGAATGGGTTTTTCTAAGCTTTCAGTTTTCTAAATCGGTTACGACATATCCTGAGATGCTCTCCAAGGTGTGTCACAAAAGCAGATTGCGGCTGTGGGAATTTTTGGGAAGGGACCCAGAGGTCATATATGTTCGTCTTTCTACTGTTCAGCTAACTCAGTTGTTGATTCATAGTGATGATTTCCAGTTAGCTATTGCTGACTTTAAGGGTCAATTTTCAGTACACCTCCCACCTATCCATTTTCTACAGCTACCAGCTTTCACCCAACCAGAGCTAACAAATAATTATTCACCTTTCCCACTAACGAATGCTAGAACTGTTTTTACAGATGGTTTTGGCAGGACGTCTAACTCAGTAGTCACCTGGCCTGGATCTAGCTTCCTTCTGTTTTTTTCCTATGAAACATTGGACTGAGAAGTATGTTTAAAATATTTTTATGCTTATGTTCATTATCACTATGATGGTGTTTCTGTAAATTTAACTTCATAGTAAATTTCTGTGTGCATTCCCAGTACTTTCTTGTTTGTTTAGGGTATGAATTACCATGGTGGGACATTCTACATGTTTCTTATCAGTGTGAAATGACGTTATCATACCTTTAAGTACAACTTTGATTGTCATGGTGGTCTAGTGGTTAGGGTGCAGGACTCTCACTGCTGCGACCCGGGTTCGATTCCCAGCCCCCCGGGCAGATGGAGCTCGTCAGCCCTGTAAGGCAATCCATCTAAGAGAAGGTCACTCTAAACAAACCTATGTCCTGGGGACCTCACTGCCACTGTCCAAGTTTGCTTGGCCCCGGCAGATGAACCTCAGGATTAAAGGGTGGGCTCAGTTCAGCGCACGCTGTGTCTCACCTAAAAAATCCACTGCGCAGGCTCGAAAGGTTAATGACCTTTCCCAAATCTTCGCTCGCGAAGAATGGCCATTATGATTGTCATGGAAATATGAGAAACAAATGCTGCAAGCACCACTGTTTAAGGACTGTCATGTTCCATTAAAAAAGCCAACGAACTTCTACAAAAGTAAACTATTTCAAAACAGTTCAAAGGACAATTTAATTATGAGTCAAGTAACAAATTATTTGTATCTCTGTGAAAAGATCTCAGTATCTATTTTTGATAATTCATTCTTTTTCTTTTTTTTTTTTTTCATGAAAGAAAGTGAGGGATGAATCAGTGAAGTAAAAAAGAGAGATTTCCTGCTAGGGCATTGTGAAAAGAGAGTTCTTAACTTTCATTGTCCTGATAAACCTGTTTAACAAGCATAGTGCATGAATACTTGAAGTGGGTGACAAAAAAGATTGGGACAGACTTTTTAGTGGGGATAGGTGCAGTGGGTTGACCCTGGCCAGATGCCAGGTACCCACTAAAGCTGCTCTCTCACTCTCCCTCTGCAACTGGACAGAAGAGAGAAAAAAAAAACAGCTAAGGATTCATTAGTAAAGATAACTGGGAGAGGTCAGTTACTGATTACCTTCATGGGCAAAACAGACTCAAAGTGGGGATAGTACTTAAATTTTTTACTAACAGGATGAGAGCCAGAGTGAGAAATAAAACAGTCTTAAAAACACCTTCCCCCCACCCCTCCTTCCATGTTCTCTCTCCTCCCCCCCTAGCAGTGCAGGGGGGTGGGAAATGGAGGTTACAGTCAGCTGTTGTTTCTGCCGCTGCTCAGAGAGAAGAGTCCTCCCCCTGCTTCTGTAAGGTCCCTCCCATTGGAGACAGTCCTTGATGGACCTCTCCAACATGAGTCCATCCCTCGGGCAGCAGCTCTTCCCAAACTGCTGTCCCATGGGTCACCCCTCTATGGGGTGGAGTCCTTCACAAATGAACTGTACCGACATGGGTCCTCCACAGGGGCCACAAGTCCTACCTGGGAAAAACCTGCTCCAGTGTGGGTTTCCCTGTCTATGGGCTGCAGGTCTCCAGCAGGACCCTACTCCGTCTTGGGCCTCCCATGGGGTCACAACCTCCTTCATGCATCCACCTGGTCCAGCATGGGCTCCTCCATGGGCTGCAGGGGGGTCTCTGCACCCTGATGGTCCTCCATGGGCTGCAGGGGGACAGCTGCTCCACCATGGTCTTCACTGTGGGCTGCAGGGGCCACAGCTCCAGTGCTTGGAGCACCTCCTCCCCCTCCTTCTGCACTGACCGTAGTGTCAACATTGTTATTCCCATGTTCTCACTCTGCTCTTCCCTGGCTGGAATGTTGTCTGTGCAACAATCTTCTGTTCTTAAATATGTTACCACAGAGGCGTTACTATTGCTCCTAATTGGCTTGGCCTTGGACAGTAGCAGGAAGTCCGTCCTGTAGCTGAGTGGCATTGGCTCCATGGGACAGGGGAAGCTTCTAGCAGCTTCTAACAGAAGCCACACCCGTAGTCCCCCCTCTACCAAAACCCAGCCATGGAAATCCACTACAATAGGACAAGGGTGATGTTGTGATAGGACAAGGGTAATGATTTTAAACTAAAAGAGGATAGCTTCAAGCTAAATATAAGGAAGAAATTATTTTTTATGAGGGTGGTGAAAACACACAAAGAGGTTGCCTAGAGAGGTGATGCTCCATCCCTGAGGACATTCAAGGTCAGACTGAATGGGGCGACCTGGTGTAGTGGTAGGTGTTCCTGCCCATGTCAGGGGGCTTGGACTAGAAGGACTCTAAAGATCTCTTCCAACCCCAAGTATTCTTTGATTCTATCGTGTCCTATGCAAACACCTCAAATTTTCCTTTGCCTGATTAGTAGGTCTCATGTAGCCTTATACAAAGTAGGAGTCTAAGGTCTACAAGTTTTGATACAACATTTTTGCTCTTGATGATTGGGTACAAGCTAAAACCTAAACAAAGCCAATGTCTCACTTTGTAATTTACCATTAAACTCAATGCTTGAGTATGCACACTGTCTTTTGGAGCAAACACTATTTTGTTTGTAAGCTAAGGAAGCTAAGGAAGACATAGTTTGCATATTTTCAGAATCTGAATGAAGATTCAGTTAATATATAAAAGAATTAATATCAGAAGTTTTTTTGCATATGTATTATCAGTTTTCTAGTTTTGTTTTTATAAACTTGAAATTACTGTTGGCAAAAGTATCAACAATAAATTGGAAAAACTTGAAAGCACACCTAGATTACAAAAGCTTAGAATAATAAATGATAAACTGCGTAGCTGAGGCAGAGAAAGATTACAGGTGCAAGTATACAATCATGTCTGTGTGACTGCCTCAGTGAATACCTATAGGTACACTGTTCACACATTGGACTGTACTTTTCATGTCTTTCATATGCTGCTTATATACTATGCTATTTTGTGGCACTTAGTTCCATAGATAAATTTATACTGCTGGTGAATATCTTGTCTTTCACCAAATAACATTTTTTAGTCAATAGTTCATAGAATCATAGAATCATAGAATCAACCAGGCTGGAAAAGACCTCCAAGATCATCAAGTCCAACCCTTGATCCAACACCACCATGGTTACTAGACCATGGCACTAAGTGCCACATCCAGTCTCATCTTAAAAACCTCCAGGGACAGTGAATCCACCACCTCCCTGGGCAGCCCATTTGAATGTCTGATTACTCTCTCTATAAAAAATTTCTTCCTAATATCTAACCTAAACCTCCCCTGGCAGAGTTTAAGACCGTGCCCTCTTGTCCTGTTGCTGGTTGCCTGGGAGAAGAGACCAGCGCCCACCTGGCTACAACCTCCTTTCAGGTAGTTGTAGAGAGTGAGGAGGTCTCCCTTGAGCCTCCTCTTCTCCAGGCTAAACAACACCAGCTCCCTCAGCCTCTCCGCATAAGACTTGTGCTCAAGTACCTTCACCAGCCTCATTACTTTTCTCTGAACCTGCTCCAGCACCTCAATGTCCTTCCTGAACTGAGGGGCCCAGAACTGGACACAGTACTCAAGGTGTGGCCTCACCAGCGCTGTGTACAGGGAAAGAATCACTTCTCTGGTCCTGCTGGCCACACTGTTCCTGATCCAGGCCGGGATGCCATTGACCTTCTTGACCACCTGGGCACACTGCTGGCTCATGTTCAGCTTCCTGCCAATCCAAACTCCCAGATCCCTTTCTGCCTGGCTGCTCTCCAACCACTCTGTGCCCAGCCTGTAGCGTTGCATGGGATTGTTGTGGCCAAAGTGCAGGACCCGGCACTTGGCCTTGCTGAACTTTGTCCCATTGGAATCAGCCCATCTCTCCAGCTTGTCTGAGTCCCTCTGCAGAGCCCTCCTGCCTTCCAACTGATTGACACTTCCCTCCAGCTTGGTGTCATCTGCAAATTTGCTGATGGTGGACTCAATCCCCTCATCTAAATCATCAATAAAGATATTAAACAGAACTGGGCCCAACACTGATCCCTGGGGGATACCACGAGTGACCATCTGCCAACTGGATGCAGCACCGTTCACCACCACTCTCTGGGCCTGGCCATCAGCCAGTTCTCAACCCAGAAGGTGCCCCTGTAGAAGCCATGGGCTGCCAGATTTTTCAGGAGAATGCTGTGGGAGACGGTGTCAAAGGCCTTGCTGAAGTCCAGGTAGACCACATCCACAGCCTTCCCCTCATCCACCAGGCGGATCACCTGATCATAAAAGGAGATCAGGTTGATCAGACAGGACCTGCCCTTCCTAAACCCGTGCTGGCTGGATCTGATCCCTTGTCCATCCTGTAGATGCTGTGTGATTGCACTTAGGATGATCTGCTCCATAACCTTGCCAGGCACTGAGGTCAGGTTGACAGGCCTGTAGTTTCCCGAGTCCTCCTTCCGGCCCTTTTTGTGGATTGGCGTGACATTTGCCAACTTCCAGTCATCTGGGTCCTCCCTAGTGAGTCAGGACTGTTGGTAGATGATGGAGAGTGGCTTGGTGAGCTCTTCCGCCAGCTCCCTCATCACCCTTGGGTGGATCCCATCTGGTCCCATAGACTTGTGAGGATCCAAGCAGCTCAGCAGGTTTCCTCCTGGATTACAGGGGGGCTATTCAGATTCTTATCTCTGTCTACCAGCTCCAGAGGCCAGTTGTCCTGAGGACAACCTGTCTTCCTGTTGAAAACTGAGGCAAAGAAGGTGTTAAATACCTCAGCCTTTTCTTCATCTTTGGTAACTATATTCCCCCCCATGTCCAATAAAGAATGGAGGTTTTCCTTGCCCATCCTTTTGTTATTGATGCATTTGTAGAAGCATTTCTTGTTATCCCTAACAGAAGTGGTTAGATTTAGTTCAAATTATGCCTTTGTCTCTCTAATTTTCTTTCTACATGACCTAACTATATTCCTAAATTCTTCGTGAGTAGCCACCCTTTTTTCCACAGTTGGTAAGCTCTCTTTTTTACCCTAATTTCCTTCAAAATCTTCCTGTTCAGCCAGGCTGGCCATCTTCCCCACCAGTTAGCCTTTCAGCATACTAGGACAGCCTGCTCCTGTGCGTTCAAGACATCCTTGAAGCATGTCCATCCCTCCTGGACCCCTTTGTTTTCAAGGACTGTTTCCCAAGGTATCCTCTGAACCAGTCTTCTTGAGTAAGCTGAAATCTGCCCTGAGGAAGTCCAGTGCAGAAGTTTTATTGATGGTCCTCTTTGCATCCTTGAGTATTGAAAACTCTATTATTTCATGGTCACTGTGCCCCAGACCGCCTCCAACCACCACATCTCCCACTAGCCCCTGTCTGTTTGTGAACAGCAGGTCTAGCGGGGCTCCATCCCTGGTAGGATCATTTACCAGCTGGAGCAGGAAATTATCCTCTATACACTCTAGGAGTCTCCTAGACTTTTTGTCTTTTTAATTTATTCCTCCAAATTTTCTAACACCTCTTTAGGGCCCCTGTGGAAGTGTTTGTTTACTACAATCATGTCAAAATCTGATCTCAAATTGGAGCCTTCTTCTAGCTGTGAAACACACTCTGCACAAGATTTTACCTTGACTAATCACTCTGAATATTTCTTTTTATTCCATTTTTCAACATTATGGTAGTGAAGGCACTCACTCAGATTCAACATCTGAAATCTCCACAGTAAGACCCATTAAGACCCATAAAGTGTGGTTTATTGAACTTTGGTGGGTTTGGGATTTTTGTGTGTAGCTCTTTTTTTTTCCTTTTTTTTTTTTTTTTTTTTTTTTTTAACAGAGTACTGAATATATGAACTTTTTGAAGCTAAATTCATACATGCTACCTTTATTCTTCCACCTTACCCCAAATATAAATTAAGAGGTAACAGTGTTTGTATGTTGTACAGTGTTTTGAATTAGTAACTGTCCTAGTTATAGGGAAAGGAGGCAGGGTTTAGCATGAGGTGGCTGTGACTAATTATGTATTCTATCTCATTCAGTCATTTTTTATAGACTGTCTCTTTAAGCACAGAAGGCGGAACTGTTTTTCCTTTACCTGAGTTGCAGAAGGGAACGGAGGGGCCCCCTTTAAAAGCCACAGGGTGGAAGCCATTGCCATTCCCCCAGTGAGGGAGGGAAAGCCTCTTCACCGCATGTTGGAGCTGCTTCACAAGTCCTAGACAAAAGGGGAGCTGCCCTGAACCTGAAGAAAGCATGTCACAGCTTTTGCAAGCTGCGCCACAGGTAGCAGCTGCCCTATCACAGGTTGGGGCTGCTCCACGGATCTCGCCACTGGCCCAAGGAGGAGGGGCTGCCCCATCACTGCAGATTCTGAAGAAAGAAATTTTTCCGCCATCAGGAACCCCCTGGTCAGCATACCTACTGCTATTGTAGCTGGCACTTCTGCTGTTACTGTTGCCACTGTGGCTGCCTGCCACCAGAGAGAGCCCGAGGGAGAGGCAGAGAGAAAGAAAAGGCAGCAAAACCAAGCCGCGGCCACCTGCACCTCACCACCACCCACCACCACTGCAAGGCAGGAAACAAAGACCCCTGGCACTGATGCCAGTATCGTGGCAACACTACCTTTTTTTCAGACAAAATAATCTTCCAGGGTTTTCTTTCCTTTTACTGGGCGAGGCTTTTAAACCATGGAACCTTGTTTGCTACACTGTGTTTCTTTGTTCTATCAGCCTTGTGGTCCAGGAGAGCAGGAAGACCAGGAAATGTTTCTTGGTCTTTTTTGGTTGAAACCGTTTTCCAATGTATCCTTGTAGCTACTGCTATTTCCTTTAGTAAATTGTTATTTTTATTTATACTTCTCTGTGTTGAACCTTCATTATTGGAGAGGACAGGGCGAAGAAAAACAAAAAAAAAAGGGAGTGACTTATTTGGAGTTCTAGTTCTCCAGTGGTTGTCCAAAATGAGCACAATAGCATAGTTCAAATGGGTAGAAATATGCGCCTGGAAGTTATTTCCCTATTCAAAAACGGATTTTTGAAAGGAAAGCTAGCTTATAACACTCCTTTACCTTATCTGACAAAACTTTCTACTTGTCACATGTTCTCCATTAAGATGGCCTTCTGATTCTCTGCTTTGGATATAGTCTAAGAGATTTTTTTAGCTGACTGTCAGGAATAGGAAAAGGCAATTTTATGCTTGTTACCCTACTGCAAACCCCATTGTTCAGGTTTGTACAGTACTTCTATTGTGGAAACACAGCACTTTTGATTTTGTGATGACACTTTGCTTGCTCTAAGAAGGACAAGGTTGAATCCAAGCTCTTTCACTATGATAGCATAGATAATTTTCTAAAGTCAGAGTGATAAAGGGCCTTCTTACAAGAATTTTTTTTTTTTATATAACCTTATGGTATCTTGCATATATGGCATCTCATCAGCACCATTCCTTTAGAACATTTTCTGCATCTTTATTGAATAGCTGTCTAAGTTTTATTTGGCTCCCCACTAAGTCCCTTGACTCAGCACAAAAACCTCCGGCAAAGAGCAAAGAGAAAAAACTATGAAAAATCCAGACTAGCCGAACTATATTAAAATAAATGTATTTACGTATATTACAGTTATATACAGTTGAAATACTATATACAATCCCAAAAGGGAAAGGAAGGGGAAGGGAAAAAAACCCAAAAAACCAAAACAAATATACACAACCAAAAAAAACCACCCCTCAGGTTCTAGCAAACTAAAGAATTAGCAAAAGAATATCTTACTACTTTCCTTGGGATAGCCCAAATGCTGCTGCCACGCTACCAGACTCTGGATCAGCAGGAACAACAGGCTCCGTAGGCCCAGCCAGACTACAACTCCTCCACAGAAGCGAGACTGGCTGCGGGGAATCTGCTGTCTCCAAACCTCACTGGAAGGGAAGAGAGGAAGAGGCTTCTCTCTCCGTCTATTTATATGTTTGGATTACATAAAGGAATAGGATGGAATACTTCCTTCCTTCCTTTCTGGCAACCAGGAAAGAAGGTCTAAACTCAAAACCATTACAACAGCATTCTTAGGGTTTTTTTTTTGGGAAGGAGAGAAATCTTAGGCTGCTTTTGGCAGCAATTGTCATGTACATACAATTGGGTTAGAGCATACTAGGAATATTTATTTGTATCTTTATTTCTGTTTTATGTTTTTTATTACCTTGTTCTGCATCTGTAGGAAACTGAAAATCAATCAAAAATTATTAATTAATTTAAGAACTTGTGACTGTAGGTGCCATATGAACACCACTATGGTAAGTGAGCAGAAGCCACAACAATCATCTTAAAATCTAATTGGAAAAATATCTATAAGTATATTCAGCATGTTCGATTTGGATAAGAAGCAATGGATACAAGTTAAAACATGGGAAATTCTGACTAAATATGAGGAAAAAAATAAGAATAGTTAAATACTGTCACAGATTGCCTAGAGAGCATGGGATTTCCATTCCTGGAGAAGTTCGAGCCTTGACTGGACACTGGAACATTCTGATTTAGTTAAACCTACTGTGAGCATAAGATTGAACTACCTCACGTCATGAGATTACTTCCAGCAAAAATTATTCAAGTGCAGCTGATTTTAGAAGCCAAACAGATAAAAAAGTCCTCATAAACATATTTTTCTTCCTAGTACTTCCTAGTTCTTTGAGTTTGAGGTTAACAGTTTGAAGCATGTATTATTTTTTAAGTTTTTTACTCAAACCATACATTTAGCAATTACAAGGACTAAACAAAACAGACACTGTGCTCAGGAAAACTTAATTGCACTGTCTGCCCATAGAGTTAATTGCATAATTTTCTTATGTGATTATATTATATACCTGCTTATTTATGCTTCTGACATGGTCTTTCTATGCATGCTACAGAGAAAGCCTCAAAGCAGTTCATGTGAAAAGGAAATAAGAGCAAATGCTATCCCTGCTGGGAAGTCAAACCAGAAAGAGATTAAGCAAAAATCTGTGAAAAGCAGGTTGCTTGTTTGTTATGTAGACTAAGAAGCTGAAAATCTGCAAGACACTTGAGAAGGATGGGAAATTTACAGGATCCATTTGTATTCCCTGCTAAACCTAAATTTTGGAAGAAAATTTAACAGCTTGAATTTTATTTTTAGAATTCTTCATAACCCTGGGAATAGGAAGAAATACTTCTATATGAAGAAAGAAATACATTTGTTTCAAATATTCACCTAAAAAAAACCCCACAGTGATTTTTGCTGTTGATTTCAGGAGCTATTAAACATGAGTATTTGTCTGGAAATGAAGGAACAAGATGTAGATCAATAAGAACAATTGGAAGTACTGAATCTAAACTGTGATGAACCACTGCCAAAATTCATGAATTGCAGTTCTTCAGAAATGTTATGGAAAGCTAGTCTGAATCAATATGGCTATGGTTTTGCTATGGCAAAAACAGCATTCTGGCTTGCACAGAAAGGAAAAATCATCACAGGGAAATTCTAGCAACATCTTCACTCTCTGTGATGTGGTATTTTGTGTAGCAAATGTTTGTAGCTGGCCAACTCATGATATCTCATCCAAAGAAGGGCTTGGAAGGAATGAACATTTTTTTCTACTGAGTGCAGTGAAAGAGTGCTTTAGCACTCTGTGTCTATTCAGAATTCTTTGAATAACAAAAAAGCCTGAATGTTACTAAATGTTACTGCAAGTGTCAGGGCTTCCTAGTAAGTGCTGTTTTTGATAATGTCTATGTCATAAATTTACTTGTTCTAAAATACCAAGTAGGGAATTTTTCTTTCTCCTGTGTTGCTGTAAAAGAAAGATGTTGAATGAGGGAGGGAGAAGGGGTTTGCCTAGGGTAATTGACACGCACAAAAGAACTAACTAGCGGGCCTGCATTCCAAGCTGATGGCCCTCCTAAGACTGTGGGGAGTTCATTTTACGAGTGGATTTAACTATTAACAATGGTGGCTGTTAAAAAACAGAGGTTTTTTTCCATTCTGGAAGGTTAGTTCTTGAAGCCTCATGTATCTTGTAGACTGTCTCAGTTTAATGAGACGGCAGTGTTTTGCTAAGGAGGATGAGTTATGAGGTAGGCCAAACTCCTTTCTCTCAGCAATTGTAAATCTGAAATTAAGAGGCTCCAATTGAGGAAGTATAGAGAAAAAAAAAAACCAACAGCCTTTTATTAAAGGATATATGTGTATTGGCAGAACAACAAAAGAACACAAAAACAACTAAACAGTAATCCTGTACCCGAAAGTCCCCTTCAAAAAGGAAACAATTCAGTACTTCCCGTCCTTTGGTGCAATTCTAATCACGATCTGCAGGGCACGATTGGATCACTGGAGGAGCAGAGCCTGCAGTTGCTCCATGTTGGTCAGCAGGGGGCGCTGTTGGGCTCTGGCAGTCGCCACGTGAGGCCCTGGTTCATGAGGCTGAAAATGGAGATTTTTCCCCTCCCACCGAGAAGGGGAAGGGGAAAAAGGCAAAGAAAGGGGTTCTTCCCATGAAAACTCACACTGTCTGTGTCACACTGTCTGTCACACTGACTGTGGCCAGGATTCCCCTCCCTTTGTCAATGTGCACAAACCACTGCCAAACACGGGAGTGGAGGAGGGAAAGGGGGACCTTCTCCCCAAAAAGTTTCTCTGTAGGTGGGTCAGATCTCTCCGATGAAGTCCGAGCAGGTCTGGGCTGGGGCAGAACAGGGTGCAGGAAACGTGGCCAAACCAGAACCAGAAAACAGCCAGATGACCAGGCTGAGAACAAAATGGCCTGGGAGCCTCTCCAATAGACACGTTGCCTGAGTTAAGGCAAAAGTGAAGTGTCCATTTCCGAGGAGAGGAGGAGAAAAAACTCATCACCCCTCCCCACAGCCTTAGGGGGCTATCAGCCTGGAATGTGGGCTGTCGGCCAGTTTTTTTGTGTGTGTGAATCACACTAGGCAAATCACACTCCCCCATTCAACATCTTTCTTTTACACTGAGGTAGGGGAAAGAAAAATTCCTGCTTGGTTTTTTAGAACAAGTAAACCTATGACAGCAGGTTGAAGGAATATAATGACAGGAACAGAGCAATAGCTTGTCATATCAGAATACTGAACTCCATTTTGCTGAGTACAGTAGTGAAACGCTTTGAACAAGATTATGGCAGCAAACAATGATTTAATCCTCTGTCTTGGCCTTCTTCCTAAACTCTCCTCTTTCTCCCTGTCACTGAAAAGGGGTCAAAAAATACAGTAGGGAGACTCCCCTAGTTTACAAAGAAACAGAGATGTCAGTGACTGATGAAACACTGACATTTTTTCTTTCCTTCATGTAGGCAGGTTAGCCTCTCTGTGAATAAAATCATCAGGTATTACTTGTCAGCTTACAGGTGTCACCCAGTCCTTGAAAATGTGGTGCTACGTTCAAATAGTCATACCCTGGACCTCCTGGATTGGTCAAGTCTCTTTTCTTAAAGTAATATGATTTAGCCTGCCTTTGAATCTGAATTAACTCTATGCCCTATTTTACTGCAAAATATATTTGCCACAGGATGGCAAAAGAGGATTTGTATTTTTACCTTTTTCTGTAGCACAAAACAACCCAACTTTCATGTTGGTTATAGACTGCCATATAGATCTGATTTATGAATTGTATTGCACAAATCACTTTATCCACATGGCTTCTAATTTTTACAGACATTTAAATACAGTCTCATGGAAATGATGAAAATTAAAAATGCATTTTCAGTGATTTGAAGAATGAAGGCAATGAATTCAAGGAATTTCTTCCTTCTGACTTTCTATTCTGTAACACATGCATTAGAAGAAGACAGAATTTATTTATTCTTACCTCTATATTGGAGAGATATAGGTTTGATGGATGAACTGTTAGATGGATAAGGAATTGGATGAAGGACTGCATCCAAAGAGTTACCTTCAATGGCTCAGTGTCTGAGTAGAAACCAGTAATCAAGGGTCTGTCCTTGGACCAATACTATTTAATATCTTCATCAATGACATAGGAAGTGGGATTGAGTGCACACTCAGCAAGTTTTTGGATCATATCACACCGAGTGATGCAGTGGATTTGCTTGAGAGAAGGGAGGCCATCAAGAGAGATCTTGACAGGCTTGAGGAATGGGAACGTCATGAAGTTGAACAAGTCCAAGCAAAGGACCTGCACCCTGGGACAATCCCCAGCATCAATACAGATGGGGTAATGAATGAATTCATAGCAGCCCTACAGAAGAGGACTTGGGGGTATTGGTGGATGAAAAATTTGACATGAGCCAGTAATATGCACTTGCAGCCCAGAAAGCCGGTTGCATCCATAAAAAGAAGTGTGGTCTGTAGATCAAGGGAGATGATTCTCCACCTGTACTCTGTTCTTGTGAAACCCCACCTGTTATAGGTTTAAATTCTTTGATGAATTCCTCCATACCAACACACAGTTTTGAGGAGGGCAGAGGAGCAAGCCTTTCTGCTAGGAAGAGATAAACATCAGGGTTCAGTTGTTTCTAGCTTGGATCTTAATGGTCCTCCCATTGAAAAGCTAATGACTTTCTCTGCAAATGTGGGATTATTTGTTTCTTCTCCCTATGCCCTAAGGCAGTAGGGGGAGGTCCATCTCCTATATAGCCATTGGCTGGGGCACCAGCTTGCAAGGGAGGGCTCTGGGAAGAAGTTGAGGCAAATAAAAGGGCTGGCAGTTTAGCTTTAGTTTTTTCTTCTTTTTCCTATTTGCTCTGGAACTGGGGCTTCCTCGCTGCCACGTGGTGCTGCACCCAGCTTAGCACTACGGTTGAATTCTGCCTGACCCCACCTGTGCCTGCTGCTTGCGGAAGGGTCCCCCAGCTGACTTAGACCTCGGCAACTGCCCTGTATTGAGACTGACCGCCACCTGCATGAGTTTGCAGGAACCTCCTGAGAGGGAGAGCACCGCCCTCCTCATGCTGGCGGCAACCTGAACTGCTGGAGAAAGCCCCAAGCTTGCCCCAGACCACCTCCACTGCCACCCACATGCACCAGCTCCTGCAGCCATAGCAGCTGCCTGAGGCAGAGCCACCCAGAGCATCATCCATCGTTTGCCACTCCTGTGTGGCAGCCGCTGCTGCCACTGGAGCCCATCAGCACCCCTACTGGCTGTGGTTATAACTGCACTGAAAGGGAAAGTAGTATTTGCTGGTTTAAAGTTTCTGTAATTGTGGTATTGTTCTCTTTTGTTCTCTATATTTTCAGTAAAGAACTGTTATTCCCTTTTCTATATTTTGCCTGAAAGCCTCACAGTTTCAAGTTTGGAGGGAGTGGTCTTCTTTCTATTCCAGGAAGGTTCCCACCTTCCTTGGCAGACATTATCTTTAAACCAAGACACCACCTCATCTTTGGAAATATTCAATGTCAGGTTGGATCGTGCTTTGAGCAAACTCATGTAGTGAAGGATGTCCATGTCCATGGTGGGGGTTTGGACTAGATAATTTTTAAAGATCCCTTCCAATACAAACCATTCTATCATTCCACAATGATTGGTTGGTGGTTGATGGAGCTGTTCTTCTGTGCCAATCACCTCTGAGGCAGCTTATACTCCTTCATAAGCTGCTAAGATCTCCTTTTCTGGTGGGATGTAGTTGGCTTCAGATCCTCTGTAGCGTTGGCTCCAGAATCCAAGTGGGCGGTCTTGGGTCTTGCCAGGCACCTTTTGCCAGAGGGTCCAGGACAGACCCTTATCCCCAGCTGCAGAGTAGAGTACCTTCTTCACATCTGGTCCTGTCCTGACTGGCCCAAGGGCTACAGCATGGGCAATCTCCTACTTAATCTGTTTGAATGCTTGCTGCTGTTCGGGGACCCACTGGAAATCATTCTTCTTGCGGGTTACCAGATAGAGAGGGCTTACAATTTGGCTGTACTCAGGGATGTGCATCCTCCAGAGACCTATGGCACCCAGAAAAGCTTGCGTTTCCTTCTTGCTAGTTGGTGGAGACGTTGCTGTGATCTTATTGATGACTTCTGTCGGGATCTGACAATGTCCATCTTGCCATTTCACCCCCAGGAACTGTATCTCTTGGGCAGGTCCCTTGACCTTACCCTTTTTGATGGCAAAACCGGGTCCCAGGAGAATCTGGATGATTTTCTCTCCTTTCTCAAAAACCTCCTCTGCTGTGTCCTCCCCATACGATGATGTCATCAATATACTGCAGGTGTTCTGGAGCCTCACCATTCTCTAGCGTAGCCTGGATCAGTCCATGGCAGACGGTGGGACTGTGTTTCCACCCCTGGGGCAGTCAGTTCCAGGTGCACTGCATGCCCCTCCAGGTGAAAACAAACTGCGGCCTACACTCTGCTGCTAAGGGGATGGAGAAGAATGCATTTGCAATGTCAGTAGTGGCGTACTACCTTGCTGTCTTGGACTCCAGCTCGTACTGGAGCTCTTACAGGTCTGGAACGGCAGCACTCAGCAGTGGAGTGGCTTCATTCAGGCCATGATAAGTCACAGTCAATCTCCATTCTCCATCAGACTTATGCACAGGCCAGATGGGGCTGTTGAAGTGTGAATGAGTCTTCCTGATCACCCCAAGAGGCCAGATAACAAATTCAACTGCTTAGCCACATCTGTCTCTGCAGCAGTTATTCCAAAAGCCCATCTGTGTCCCTTGGGGTCTTTAAAATACCTGTTCCTGAGGTAGTCAATGACCAGTATACATGGGGCATCTGGACCAGTCTCTATGGGGTGTTTCTGCCAGTCCTTCCCAGTCAAGCTCACCTCAGCTTCCAACACGGTCAACTCTTGAGACCCTCCAGTCACCCCAGAAATGGAAATAGTCTCTGGTCCCACATGTCCTGAGGGCATTAACGTACACTGAGCGCCAGTGTCAACCAAAGCCTGGTATTCTTGTGGGTCTGATGTGCCAGGCCATTGGATCCACATAGTCCAACAGACATGGTTGTCCCATGCCTCTACCTGGCTAGAGGCAGGGCCCTTCTAACGCTGGTCTTTGTCCTGCCAATCACAGTTTTTCTCCTGTGAATACCAACGAGAGGTACCATCTAGCAGGTCAGATCCCTGCCCACAGGATACCGGTACTGCACTCACTTCCATGGACTTCCCTTGTCCTCTCTTTCAACTCTTGTACTCAGGCTGCTAGAACACAAGTAGGTTTCCTGTCCCACTATCTCATGTCTTCTCCATGGTCAGCTAGGAAATACCACAACTCAGTTTGTGAGTTCTGGCTGGGGGCGTCTGGTTCTCACTGGGGCCATATGAAAACTGTTTCCCTCAATCCTTTCTTTCAGTCTCTCCTGTTTATCTTTCACCTCTGTAGTTAGTGCCTTGAGGTCCTTAATCAATGTCTCTACAGTGGAGATGCGGGCCTGTATTGGTCCTTCAATCATACTGTCATACAAACGAAGTTTATTTATTATAGACATCACTGGCTCTCACTTCTCCCCAGCCTGCAATGATATCAGGTAACTGGCATGTGCAGATGGCCCCATAGGTGTGAAGCTCCAACGCATCTGTGGTGTACACTTAACCCTGTCAGGATTGTTGGTGGGTTGCCCATCCTCTCCAAACAATACCTCTAATAGTGCCATTTCCCTCAGGCACAGGATCCCCTCCTCTATGGTCTTCCAGCACTTTGCATAATGGTCTGCCTGCAAGGGATCTCTGTAAATGAACCTCTCCCTCACACCAGCCAAAAGCCATGCTCATAGAGACAAGGACTTTGATTCCCTTACGAACATCTCCTCGATACCCCATCTTGGACAATAGACTTCAAGAACCTTGCTTCACCACCATCAAGTTTTATGGCATCACCCGTAGAGTCCCAAACTCAGATCATCCAGCCAGAACAGGCTCATTCGGGCAACAAATAACATCTGTCTGTAAGCTCCAGAGGTTGTTCTACGATAAGGACTCAGTGATGATTTCTGGCTCTGGACTAGCTGCCTGTGAGGGTCCTGCCTCCCCATCATTGTAAGCTAGGCAAACTGATTTGGTCTTGTATTTCCTCTTTTGGATAGGGGCAAACTCCATTGGCTTGGTCTGCCCCTTTGATTTGGCCCTATCCTGAGTCACCATGGTACCAAGCATCTTGTTTTCGTCTTTTCCTTTTCCCTGGAAGTGCTGCACCATACCGAGCAACTTCTGGTAGGCAATGGCCAAAACCCCACATGCAGCTGCCAACTGCCTCTCCATGGATCTATCATGACCTCTTTCTCTCACAGCTTTCATTATTTTTGTAGGGTTTAGGAGTTGTTTGAGCATGAGCTTCCATGTTGTAGGAGCTGAACAACTTTCTAGGAATTTACCCATATCCTCCATAACCCATACCACTTGACATTTTCCACCCCTGGGGCAGGCTTCTGGACACGTTCTTGGTAATTCTTGGCCCCATCTTGGTATATTAGGTATACCATGGTGGCACAAACTTGCACAAAAAGCCCAAAAAGTAAAATGTCTCTGACATCTAAGGAGAATTTAAACTTCCCAGAGGCCATTGTATTGGATCCAAAGGGAAACTGGATGAAGCGTTTCTTTGTAGGGATGGGTGCCATTATCCTTAAAACCCCAGAGGAAACAGCTTTGGCTAGAGCAGTAGTGCACCCTTGAGGACATATTCTGGATGAAAATCACAGGTGCACAAACTCAAAGGCACTTATTGCAATGAGGGTCTTAATATCTGAGCTGAAGCATATTGACAGGTGGAACAGATATCTTGGCATGGTTATATGCCACAGGAAAGCAACAATCCCAAGCATCATGGTACCTACAGGTTCAAAACACCTGTGAATCACACAGGGCAGTTATTCCTTTCCCACCTTTCCTCTCTTTGGGCGTCACATTGGGCGCCAATTATTGTCTCAGTTTAATGAGACAGCAGTGTTTTGCTAAGGAGGATGAGTTATGAGGTAGGCCAAACTCCTTTCTCTCTCAGCAATTGTAAATCTGAAATTAAGAGGCTCCAATTGAGGAAGTATAGAGAAAAAAAAAACCAACAGCCTTTTATTAAAGGATATATGTGTATTGGCAGAACAACAAAAGAACACAAAAACAACTAAACAATAATCCTGTACCCGAAAGTCCCCTTCAAAAAGGAAACAATTCAGTACTTCCCGTCCTTTGGTGCAATTCTAATCACGATCTGCAGGGCACGATTGGATCACTGGAGGAGCAGAGCCTGCAATTGCTCCATGTTGGTCAGCAGGGGGCGCTGTTGGGCTCTGGCAGTCACCGCAGGCAGGCCCTGGTGTGCGGGAGAAAACTGACAATGGAGATTTTCCCCCCCAGTGAGAAGGGGAAGGGGAAAAGGGGAAAGAAGGGTGGGTTCTTCTCACGAAAAACTCACACTGTCTGCCACTGGCTGTGACCAGGATTCCCCCCTTCATCGATGGCCACAAACCACTGACAAAACACGGGCGTGGAGGAGGGAAAAGGGCGACCCCCTCCCCAAAAAGTTACTCTGCGGGTGGACCAAACCTCTCCAGTGAAGTCCAAGCAGGTCCAGACTGGGGGCAGAACAGGGCGCAGGCAAGCTGAGGCCAGAAAACAGCCAGATGATCAGGTTGAGAGCAAAACGGCCCTGGAGGCTTTTCAACACACACACCTTGCCTAAGTTAAGGCAAAAGTGAAGTGTCCTGTTTCTGAGGAGAGAAGAAAAAAAACCTCATCACCCCTCTCTGCAGTTTTAGGAAGGGTCATCAGCTTAGAATGCAGATCTGCTTGTTAATTCTTTTATATGGGTCAATTACCCCTTCCCCCTTCCTTGTTCAATATCTTTCTTTTACAGTGGGGCAGGGGAAAGAAAAATTCCTGCTTGGATTTTTAGAACAAGTAAACCTGTGACAAATGGTTAAGCAAATCAAGACAGAAAGCTGCAAGTCACACATCCATCACTCTCTCAGGCCGGCCTATCACCCATACACACACACAGACCTTGGAGTTTCAAGTTGCCCCTTTCTCATACCCCTGCATGGTGAATTGCAAACTGGAGAGCTCAGCTCTCCCTGGGCAGTAAATCATGGCTTAGAGAAAACAACACAAGATCATGTGGACATTTCTCAGGCCTTTCTCACACTGGCTGCTACATCTCCCCCCTTCTGTATTCAGCACGATGGAGGAAGATAGCTATCGCTTGGAGTTCGATGGTTCCGCTGGATGGGAAATACGATGTAGCCACTGCAAAACTTACCAAAGATTACTGCGATTCACACCACAACTTACTTCTAGTTTACAAGGCATGTTGTCTATCATCTAGCCACATGATAGCAGATTCTAAGGCATCTAAGCAAACCATAAGTGCTTAATTAACTTGCTTAAATTCATAGTTCTTGCAAGATGTTATCAGAGGCAGTGTAATCTACACAGATTTCCGTTAATAAGGTGACCACAACAGAGGCAGTAACTAAAAGGACTACTGCTAATACGATACAGAATAACTAAGCAATACAGGGAGATGC